TAGTTGTTCAAGTCGACTTCGTAGTCGTAAGCTTCGTAGCTTGTCGAGATTCCACTCACGATACAACTTCGTAGTTGCTCAAGTCAACTTCGTAGTCGTTCAAGTCAACTTCGTAGTCGTAAGCTTCGTAGCTTAATCGAGATTCCACTCGCGATACAACTTCGTAGTTGTTCAAGTCGACTTCGTAGTCGTAAGCTTCGTAGCTTGGTCGAGATTCCCTTCGAGATACAACTTTATAGTTGTTCAAGTCGACTTTGTTGTCGTAAGCTTCGTAGCTTGGTCCAGATTCTACTCGAGATACAACTTCGTAGTTGTTCAAGTCGACTTCGTAGTCGTAAGGTTCGTAGCTTGGTCGAGATTCCCCTCGAGATACACCTTCGTAGTTGTTCAAGTCGACTTCGTAGTCGTAAGCTTCGTAGCTTGGTCAAGATTCCACTCGAGATACAACTTCGTAGTTGTTTAAGTCGACTTTGTAGTCGTAAGCTTCGTAGCTTGGTCAAGATTCCACTCGAGATACAACTTCGTAGTTGTTCAAGTCGACTTCGTAGTCGTGGTAGTTAGTCGACTTTATAGCCGTTTTGAAGAATTCGATTTTTCAAGTAATCATAATGGGATTGACATGCAAATGTAAAGGATACAATTGAAGCATAGACTTGGAAATTCATTGTATTACTGATTTTGATTTGAACACTGTTCAGTACAAGAGTTTAGAATATTTCTTTGAGCATAAAAGCGCTTAAAATGGATCACATGCCACGATCAATGGCAGCTGTTGACCTTCCCCATCCTAGTGGTTCGTTCCTTCGTTTCTCCGATCTATATCTCCATGAACTCGCCATGCGGTTCGAGATTGTTGCTCGGCCTCTTTTTATTCGACATCGGTTTCTTCCCTTCTTTGACTCCGACTCGCTGGATGGCTTTCACGACAATTTGATAACAAGTCCTTGATAGTTTCTGATCACCTCGAGCTTCTCCAACTTGATCTCCGACTGGGAATTTTAGCTTCATGTGGTAAGTCGACACCACAGCCTGAAATGCATCAAGCGCTGGCCTCCCCAGGATCACGTTGTAAGCCGACTCGACATCGACTACTACAAATTTCACCATTTTCACTTTCTGCAAGTCGCCCTCCCCAAGGATGACAGCGAGCATCGTCTCTCATAGGGGTGCAACCTCTGAACCATTGAAACCAAATAGCGAGGTATGGAGGGGTGTGACTTGTATGTCGAGCTCCATCCTCTTGAGACAGTCATAAAAGATCACATTCACTGAGCTCCCAGTGTCGACAAACACTCTCTGCACCTCGTATCCCGATACTTGGGGCAGTTATCATTAATGCATCATTGTGGGGTCTTTCGATCTTCCCCATATATGCGGGCCCAAAATTAATTACTGGACCATTTTCATCGACCTGCTGCACCTCGACTTCCCATGGCGCCCTCGAGCATACGCCTTCCTTGCCCGATTAGAATCTCCATCAGTCGATCCACCAAATATCATGTGTATGACTCCCCTTTTCTGGGGAAGCTCCTCCTTCTCGGGTGTTCTCGCCCTCTTGCGAGGGCTCCTGCTCCTTTCTCTCCTCCTGCTCGATTTCTCCCGATCCTTGTATATGAATTCTTTCAAGTGTCATGCTTTGATCAACCTCTCAATATCGTCCTTGAGGTGCATACAGTTGTCAGTATTGTGCCCATAATCCTTATGAAATCTGCAGTATAGATTACTTTTGGGTCTCGTTGGTCCATCCATCTTCGTCTTGGGCCATCTGACGACATTGTCATGGATTTCTCCTTCCATCACCTCCAGAATTCGCGCTTGAGGGGCCGAAAAAGGGGTGTATTGAGTCGGCCTCCATCCCTTAGATCGCCCCTCCCAGTCTGCTCTTGGGGATCCTCTCCTTTCTCCCGATGGGTTCACTTTCTTATCCTTCTTCTCATCCCGGTGTAGGACCACAAGGGCGGCAAAGCTCTCCCTCAAGAGTTTTTAACACTGCTGCCCGAAAAATCGAATTTAGTAAGTAGACATCCCATAGGGAAGTCTAGACACCATAACGCACGAACGATAATAAAAAAACT